TTTGATAATGCAGTGACAGACTGGCTTCTATCGTACATCCGACTCCATGTGCGACGCAAGTGTTTTCTGCAAATAGCAGCTCGGTACAGGTCTCATTTCATGTTTTCCAGAAAACAAATGCATTTGGTCTGAAAGAGAGGTGTGTTAAGCTGCATTATTGGCACATTGCTATTTTGAGAAAGCTAGAACAGTGCGCTACTGACCAAGCAAAATCTGCATTTTAAATTGTTGTTGTTTTCCATAGAGCACATTTTTTAAAGAGGTCCAAAACAAGCGTACACGTTGCTTATTACACAGACAGGGATGCACAGCAGCACAGATATATCTATCCAGCATATGTTTTATGCAGCGGATGCCTTTCCAGCTGCAACCCATCACTGGGAAACACCCATACACTCCCATTCACAGACATACACTACGGACAAGCTTAGCTTACCCAATTCACCTATACTGCATGTCTTTGGACCGTGGGGGAAACCGAAGCACCCAAAGCAATACCACACCAACACAGGGAGAACATGCAAACTCCACACAGAAATGTCAACTGACCAAGCTGGGTTTTGATCCAGCGTCCAGCTTGCTGTGAGGCGATCGTGCCACGCATTGCGCCACCATGACGCCCTAATTAATTCATTCATTCCTTTTCTTTTCAGCTTAGTCCCTTTTTAATCTGGGGTCACCACAGCGGAATGAACCGCCAACTTATCCAGCACATGTGTTTACGCAGCGGATGCCTTTCCAGCTGCAACCCATCACTGGGAAACACCCATACACTCCCATTCACACACATACACTACGGACAATTGAGCTTTCCCAATTCACCTACTGCATGTCTTTGGATTTTGTGGGGGAAACCAGAGCACCTGAAGGAAACCCACGCCAACACAGGGAGAACATGCAAACTTTTACACAGAAACGCCAGCTGACCCAGCTTGGGCTTGAACCATTGATCGTGCTACCCACTGTGCCACCTAATATCTTGAAATAATATTATTTAAAAGAATTAAGAATTAAGATATTATAATCGCAACCTCCTCCCACGCTTTCTTCACCTCGGGTGGCTTGGGTGGAATCCGGGTCCTTCTGTAGGACTCAGCAGGCCCTCTCTCCCATACGTTCACCAGTGCACAAAACCTTCTTCTGCAGTGTTGTTCAGGCTACAAACACACAGGGACAAGGACGGAAGAAGTATACTGCTAGTTTTGATAGTGCAGTGACACGCTGGCTCCTATCATACACATGGCGCAATGCAGTGGCATGAGTGGTGCAACAGTTTCTTCTTCTTTTTTTTTTTTTTGCTAGTTTCAGCCAAAGACACAAGTAGTAGAATACACAACATGTATCACTCGTATAGTTTTGAATGGGGAAAAGTGTAACGGTCAATATGGCTAATGAAGCCTCCTAGTACATGAGCCAATCGTCGATCGCTATATATGGATGATTCTTCGGGGGAGAAGCTTGGACCAGACGTGCTTTTACAACGTTAAGTGGTCAACAAACACACTGGAATCTCAGCAAATACTTGTTTCACAGATATAAGAAATATATCCACATAAAGCTTGACATCTCTACATTTAAATGAACTAACTACAGCTTAAAGTTTTTTGGGTTTTGTTATCTGTATGAAATGAACGGGAGGTACAGTCCGTATCCTGATGAGTGCTGCGTTTGGCGTTTTTAGGTGCAAAGATGCATTCTGCATAAATGTCTCCTAAATCCGTGGTGATGACTTTGCAGGGAAAACAATGAAAATGTATGCACTACAGTGAATTTCATCCGAACTCTCGTCTCCTCCACCAGCTGTGGGAAAAGCCATTAGAACGACAGATCACGGTGCCCTATTCATGCCAGAGTCCCGTGGAAAAAAATGTAATTGACAGGTGGTCATTTGCTTGTAACTTTATTTATTTATGGTTTGGTTATGGGTAAAGCAAAGACCATGTGGGTCAGGTAGTGAAAACGGTAGGCTACAAATAATTAATTCGTTATGAATTAATTGATATTTAACAACCACCCCCACCCCCCTCCTACGACGACGATGCCATCGTCCATCACGATGTTTCACATTAGACATCGTACGATGCCAAATTGGTCGACATCACTGAACCCTAGTTTGTGCAGCAATATTTTTTGTCTTTTAGTACTTATATTATATAGAAGACTTGCTTTGTTTACCAACTAAAGTGAATCTAATTGGAGTTGCAATTTATACAATTAATAAAAGTTAAAAAGATATTATTTTTTATTTCACATATTCACATATTAAGGTTTAGCTATAATACTTCCAAAATAGGATATCTGCAGATTTTTACCAAAATTCTCTGCAGAAATTGCACAAAACGTCTGCAGATTCCATCTGGCCCTACCCATAACTCATTAAGAGAACAAGGACAACCATTTTTGACGATGTGCTGGGCACACACTGTTTTTTCAATCCTTAAAATAGCAAAAAAAATGGATTCAGACACCCTCAGTGGACCTGTGCTGTGCACTTTAGACCAAGTGCTTTGGTGGTTAAAATAGAGCTCTTTATTTTGATGGTTAAACCCACCTACATACTAAATCTAGATAAACTAAGATTTCATATAAACAGACCTCAATTATCTTGACATTTAGAGGCCATTCACACAGAATTCATTTTTCCAATGTGCTACTTTTTTAATGTTTTAATGTTTACACAGCGCTACTCATCAGTGTCAGTTCTAAAGCAGTGGACCAATCAGAAGCACTCTGAGGAGGGGCAAGTGTTGTAAGCTTCTGCTTACAGTAGCAAGTTGGCATGACAACTGTTTTATTTGATGTCTATAAGATGATGGAGGCGCTTTAAGACAAAAATTAATGTCCCAAATGATGCATCTTGTGTTTTTCTGTGTGAATGGCCAATTAAACCGCCTACATACTATATTAAAATAAACAAATTTTTCATATTTTACTGTATAATATTTTTGATGATATTTAAATGACTTGAATTGACTTCAAGTGCTGCTATGAAACAGAAAAAAGTTTCATAGAATTGTACCTCTAAATCAAAAAATAATCATGAACTGCTCAGGCTAGCACATGCTGAGAACTCTGATATTATAATAGCACAAGACACATTGTGCCAAAAAAGCATGTTATAATAGCACAAGCCATATCACCAAGGGACAGAATTTGTGCCAAAATACCACAGAATGACTGGACATACAACCATTGACGTCAGCAACAAAAATACGGATAGTATTTTATTCCTTTGCAAAACCTACCATAAGCATATTATGTTATTAAGCCAATTCATTTTGCTATGCAGCACAATGACACAACCGGTCTCCATCAACTGAGAACCACAGACATGGAGTAAATGATTTATATTATTATTTAGGTAACACTTAACAATACGGTTGTATTAGATTATGTTCATTAATGCTTTAGCTAACATGAACTAATGGCAGACAACGATTTTAATCAGCATTACATAATCTTTAATAATGTTGATTGCATCGCTTTACATTAACAATCTAATTAGTAAATGTTTGTTCGGCAATGCTAAACCTTTATGTAAACTAAACATATATTAGTTAATGAATTAGTTAACATGAACAAATGTTAGTAACACATTTGATAATGTTTGAGTAGTGTACACTTTACAATAAGGTTCCTAATTCCCTTACCAAATGCTTTGCTAATGATAAATCATGTTAGTAGAGACCACAAATATGAATAACATGCCTATTATGGAGTGGTAAAGTTGAAACCTAAAGTTGTATGTTATTCATGTTTGTGAACTCTACTAACATGATTTATCAGTAATAAAGCGTTTGTTAACGGAACCTTATAGTAAAGAGTATACTACTCCAACGTTATATAATGTGGTACCAACATTTGTTCATTATTTATTCATGTTAACCTATGTATTAATTAACACAATATATGTTTAGTTAACATTAACGAATGCTTAACAGATGTGTTGTTCACTGCTAATTCATGTTAACTATAGCGTTAACTAACATTATTACACGGCTGTGGAATATTTTGATTTGGTCAATCGTGACATTCCAAGCTATGTCATTTCCAGATAACAACCCCTAAATAACACAGGCTCATCCAGGAACTTCAAATCAACTTGACCACCAGTGAATACATTCAAATCCATATACTTACACCTCTATACATATGTATATGATTGTTACTCCACTGTTTTTAACTGTTTTTGACTGTTTGGCGCCATCTTGTGACTGAATAATGAGCAGGTTAGTCTATACTTCATCAGCCGTTTTCATTTCAATCAGCTTTACTTTTTTGACTGTTTGGTGTCATCTTGTGACTGAATAATGAGCATGTTAGTGTATACTCCATCACTTGTTTTAGTTTCAATCAGCTTTACGTCTTTGACTGTTTGGCGCCATCTTGTGACTGAATAATGCTCAGGTTAGTGTATACTCCATCAGCTGTTTTCATTTTTGCCAGCTTTATGTCTCTGACTGTTTGGCGCCATCTTGTGACTAAATAATGCACAAGTTAGTGTATACTCCATCAGCTGTTTTCGTTTCTGTCAGCTTTGTGTTTTTGACTTTTTGGCGCTTCTTGTGACTGAATAATGCACAGGTTAGTGTATACTCCATCAGCTGTTTTCGTTTTTGACAGTTGGACACCATCTTGCGAATGAAAAATGTGCAGGTTACTGTACGCTCCATCAGCTGTTTTCGGTTCTGTTAGCTTTGCATTTAATTAAATAATTAAATTAGTACAGTTCAGAACAATGTTTCTGGGCTAATTATTATTAATTTTGTGGCAAGTGGCCGTGTATTAAGCAGGAAAAAGTACATGAGGAATGGTTATTTTCACAGAATAAAGCCCTTCAGACTTATGCAACAATGCTCATATATTACAACATAGGCCTTATTCAGCGATAATAACCTCCAAAATTTACTTTATTCTTAACTTATCTAATACAACCTTCTTGTAACATGTTACCGAGGTTTCTGTATCAGAATATTCTAGCACATGTCTGTGAGTGGTACCTGCAGGCTGAGTGCTGCTCTTCCGCTTCAGCCATCTGTCCACCGTCTCCGAGCTCACGCTCTCCAGCACAAACTCATCCAGCATCTGCGGGTGGAGGGAGAGATAAGCCTTCACTTTCTCATCCGTCAGACCTGGAACAGAGTGATCAAGATTAGTTTCTTCCTCTCACGCTCATTCAAAAAAATAGAGCATTCGCTGATTGTGAAAATATCAGGATCTCGTCAATAAATGCCCACTGGAAGTCTACATGAAGCTATTAAATGACTTCAGAATGCAAAATTAAACTAGCTCATCTTTTTTTTTTTTACTTTTTATTCCTTTATCCTGGCATTTAACATAATATCTCCCTAATAGTGCTTAACAGAAGTGAGGACATACTATTGGAGAAAACTATTGAAGTTTATTACAACAAAACAAGCACTTCTGGGTGAATCAAGATATTTAAATTCACCATGAAATTAAATTAACCTGTTTTATTTCTACTGAATTTTGCAATATTTATTTATATCCAACGTATTAATTTTTATATTTTTTGTGACATGTCAGTCATAATAGGGAAGAAACTAATTTTGAGATGAATTTAAGTAGATTTTTTATAATGTAATGTCATTATAACAGTAGTTACCGTATTTTAAAAAGAAAGATTAATTAAAAAAAAAAGTTGCTTCCTCATTTACTCACACCCAAGTGTCTTTAATCTCTTATAAATCTTTTTTTTTCTGTTAAACACAAAACAATATATTCAGAGGAATGTTGGAAACCAGCATCCAAAGTAGGAATAAAAACACTATGGAGGTCAATTGTTGCTGCTTTCCAGCATTCTTCAAAATATCTAATTTTATGTTCAAAATAGACAAGTGGGGGCAGCACGGTGGCCAATGGGGAGCACAATTGCTTCACAGCAATAAGGTAGCTGGTTCAAGCCCCGGCTGGGTCAGTTGGCATTTCTGTGTGAAGTTTCCCCGTGTTTGCTTGGGTTTCCTCCGGGTGCTCCGGTTTCCCCCACAGTCCAAAGACATGTGCTGTAGTTGAATTGGGTAAGCTAAATCCGTAGTGTATGTGTGTCAATGAGTGTGTATGGATGTTTCCCAGTGATGGGTTGCAGCTGGAAGGGTATCCGCTGCATATCCGCTAAAACATATGCAGGATAAGTTGGCGGTTCATTCTGCTGTGGCGACCCCAGATTAATAAAGGAACTAAGCCGAAAAGAAAATGAAATGAAAGAAACAAGTGGAGGCAAGTACATTTAACCTCTTAAGGCCCAAAGTGTTTTTTACATGCATTTTTTATTTCTCTTTGCTATTTGGGCTTATTAGAACCTAATTAGAATAAAAACCTAAGAATCGTCTTTTGATTTGATGTATTTTTGGAAAAAATTTATGTCCATATATGTGGACTTGTGGTCTGAATTTACATAAAACACTTTTTCCTGACTGTTTTGTGATGCATATTTAACAAAGAAAATTTTTTGAAAATGTTTTGACAATCAAAGAGTAAAAACACCATTTTTCCCTATTTTGCACAGTTAAAAATATTGTTTGGGACATTTTTATATGCTGCAAAACAGTTACAGGATGACACTGCATGTCTGTAACCAAATATAAAACATTCAAAGTATTTTAAATAGCCACTTAAGAGCTAAAATGTGCCCTGGGAGGCTAACAGAATTTTAAATTTTGGGTGAACTATCCATTTAAGGAGTTTGTTTTTCGATTTAAGCTATATTGTAAAATATAGTCAGAATTAATACATGGTTTTGTCTTATTTAAAATGGCAAAATATATTTATTCCTGCCCACATCGAAGTGTATAATGACCATTGGTGTGCTGAGGTTCTGCAGAGCTCATGGACCATTACCAATATTCAATTTAAAGGTGCTGTATGTAAGTTTTTGACTCTTCTAAAGCATAAAAATACCATAATATGTTTGCAGATATTTAAGAAACATGCTAAGTGAACATTCTTGTTTATCTGAAAAACAATACTGAAGTTCTGCTTTGAAAATGTCTGTTACGCGCCGGATGGTCTATCTTTATTTTAATCCCTGTAACCCACCCTATGCCAGTTTAGCCAATTATATTTCAGCACCCCGCATTGCCTTGGTGGAAAACAGCGTATTTCATTCATTCAGTCAGAAAGACTCTTGAAGTTTGTATCCGTGACTGAAAGGAGAACTCCGATGGACAGTAGCAGAGCCCAAAATGAGATGCAGATTCAGAGTTCCACATGAGGAAATTATTAATTAGCAAATAATATAAATATTATATTGTTATATTGTATGTGTCCTAACAACACTTTACATGCCAAGATTTGCAGTGATGAGCAATTTGGCTGTTTGTACCAGACGAAACAGGACAGAAATGTAAATACAGCCGTTCCGAATAGTGCACTCACTGCACCCCAGCGAAATGGTAATGTTTATAATCTAATTAATACATATTAAACTTTTTTTACATTATTAAATGTAGATGCTTAATCATTGATATGTGTTTACTTGCACTGAGTCTCAGTTTCAAAGTTCAATTTCAAAGTGTTTATTTTCAAGATCTCAGGTGAACTATCTGCTGCTGCTTTCAGTAGTATGGCTATAAATGTCATGTAAAATGACATTCAAACTCACATTATTAGCATTTAACACTGAATAAAGCACATGAAGTGTACCTGAGGTGATCATTGTCAGTTTATCCTGTTGTTCAGCTGCAAGAAAAAGAAGCCGTTTCTAGAATCTAAATTTCAGGTGTTGGTTAGGACAAAAACTCCTTTTGATAAGGAAAATATTACTTCTGTCAGGTGCTGTTGCTTTTATTCAGAACATGACTTAAATCAGCCTTTAGGCTCGATAGTCAGGCACATTCCTGTTGATGTCATAAATCTGGCAACCTGCACTTGCATTTGTATTGAACAAGGTTCAACCACTGCCTGTCAAACCTACATACTGCACCTTTAATGTGTATAGTTCAGGGAGTACAGGCACAGTAAGAGAATGGAGATGCAGAAAGAAGATGGACACACTGACTGTGTTTAATAGTAAGTTAAGTGTTTTGAAAGCTCACTAAGTGTTGTTGTTTATAGTCTCTGTTGTCAGGCCAAACATCGATTTACTGGACCACTCCTGAAGGAAAGCACATTTTGGTGAGTTAACAACAAAGCATCCGGTCTTTGAGGGTAATTTTAATTTAGTTTTTTTTTTGTTTTGAAAGTAACTTAACTGCTAGATTGACAGAAATCCTCTTTCAATGCTTAAAACAAAGTTAAAAGTGCAGATGGGAGCTTTGCGTCAATGGAAATTTGGACCTCCAGAAACTTTAATTAAATATCCCTTGGCTTCTTTTCATATAAATGCCACGATTGAGTGTATTGAAACCAAACAGTTTGAGCATATGTGCGTCTTGACTTAATGTGCAAACTCGGGGGTAACACAGCTGGATGGCATGTGTTTCACACTATACAAACACACACACCACACAAAGACAAAACACACACACACATTTTAGCAGTAAGACATTGAGACCCAAGCTAGCCCACAAAAGCTTCCACAAACAGACAAAGGGTAGTGAGAGGCTACAGACTGTTTTGGTGCACAACAACAAAAAGACAAAACAGATGAGAATGGCAGAGCTTCCACTCTTTGAACCCTTAAACCAAACCAGATGTCTGAGGAGTATTCATATGCATACGCATCCACGCATAAGTCACATAGCTTTTGTGTAAGCAAGTATTTTACAGTACTTTACTCTCATAAATGTCTCTGTCTGTGTTTTCAAACTATTCTATTTGATTTTCCAAAGTCACAGAAGTGGCACTTTCACATCTGTCACATCCATAACGGAGAGATGTCACATCCATAACAAAACTTTTACCTCATTAATGTAAAAATATTAAATGAAATTAAATCAATCATTTTTTTTATATAGAGAGCCAACTCATATCCTTTAGATTAGCATTGTTTATTTTGGGTTGTGCAATTTAATTCACAGAATTTCTACAAAGTATGTTGTACACTGTAAACCTGCAGACTTTTTTGTCACATCCGTAACGCACGTTTATTTTCCTCATTTAAAGTACAAAACATGTTAACAGACTGATATTTTTCTGATCTCAGAACTCTGTGGTCAGTTGTTCTGTAAAATATAAACAAAAGTTTCAATATAATGTTAACTTTAACTTTCTATGTGAATTTATGTTTTGAGTTTTTACTGCAAATGTCAAATATATATATATATATATATATATATATATATATATATATATATATATATATATATATATATATATATATATATATATATATATATAATAGAAAATACTGTAAAAAAAAAAGTCTTTGCTCTGTTAAGCATCAAAAAATAACAAAAATTTCACAAGAGTGCTAATAAGTGTGCCTTCAGCTGTATACGGTCAAATCAAGTTCAAATAAGTACCCTTTGAATATTGAACAATTATAAACATTTTAACAGAAATAGGTTAAATTATAACACAAGAATAATAATTAATTAAACACTATAAATGCCAAAAGCAATAATTTTAAGCAATATTTTTTGACTTGTTTTTGATATTTTGATATTCTTTGATATTTTGATATTGAACAAACCATCGTTATACAAGGACTTGCTTAATTACCTTAACTTGTCTAATTGACTTGCCAAGTTAAGGTATTAGAAATGAGTTTTTAAAACTATTATGTTTAGAAATATGTTGAAAAATATATATATATTGTATATATTGTAACATTAACGTAATTACAGAAGATGATTTAAACAACTATTTGGAAAGAATTAATAATTTAACATTATAATTTAATTGTTTGTGACAATTTTTGTAGGGAGTGTGCTTATTAAATATAATAAACAAATTACAAGCAAAAACAATGAATGCAATACAACGATGCAAATGAAATTATCAGTGCTTTATAGTTTTTCTAGAGTCACACACCTTAAAAATAAATTCTTTCCCTCTGTTAGGGTTCAACCTTGCTTGTGTTATGAACTGTTTCCTGGTTAATTACAATCTCACATTGCAGATCTTACAATGTGACTATTGCATATTCACACATTGCCATATCGATGCTGAAACGATACATTGTGCAGCCCTAATTTGACTCCATTCACTGTAATCACTGTAAAAACACAGA